AATGGAATGCTCTTGCTGGGTATCCTAGGTCCCCTCGTGGCAGACGATGGCACTTAAGCAGGGGTCAGGGAGCTGATGGAATCAATTGGCGTATGCTTTTTATTTGTGGAGTACAGGAAGGTGGGTGAGTAAGAAAGAAACAAGTGGATCAGAACTGTTCCTTTGCTGTTTAACAATTAACCTAAATTGTAGTGATTGCTCCAGAATTGTTCCTACGTGCAGATTGCATGGACCTGAAAGGCTAGTACTACTTTGGTCCACTTGGGCTCCACGCCTGGCATTAGGGTAGCCTCTCACCTCAATGCTTCCCGATGGGGTGAACTAGAGAAGACAGTGCCATCCTTTCAAATGCTGCCTTTGACCAGAGCGCTTCCCCTGCAGGCCTAGGCTTAGGCCTAATCTCTGATTCACTGCCAGGGCCCATGTACACTGACATCATTATCTTTTATGGAAAAGCATGATTTATATAGTGCCCTCCCTCTGGAAGAACAGTCTCCTCACCCTTCATGGCTATGCCTTAATAGAAATGAGGGAGTGCTCACAGGAGCCCTGCATAAACCCATCGGGGTAAAAGTATGGCCCTGAGGGCCGCTTGCTCCCCCCAAACAGTGGACAGCCTCCGGCTTAAGAACAGGACTGTTGTGGGTAGGAGGTATGGCCCAAACACTGATAGCAAAGCTGGCGTGTGCCAGAAGATAGAGCCTGTGGTCATCCTAAAAGCTAATTCTAGCCTTCATTAGGAAATAGAGATGCAGTCTTTCTTAGGCTTCTCTTGGAAAGTTGATCCTCCCTGCTTCTCTGTTCCATGCCATGAATTTCACACTAACAGTCCTCCCCCATCCAGGGACAAGCCGGCCTCTTTCTGATAGGGTAGAAGAATCTCCCTGGCGTTCCTCTTTAACTGCATTGCAGACCCTTAGCCTGTGTCTGCCATACAGCTCCATTATGCTCTTATTGGCTCAAATGATGGTGATTTTTTTTCCTGCCTTTTCTCCAAGCTTTCTAATACTGCTTTAAAGCCCCAACAGCTCTTTTCTCTTCTGCCTCCTGGTGCCTCTGCCCTTCCTACCCCACCCTTGGGAAGGCATCCTGGCAGACAAACGGGGGTGGGTGGACAATACTCTAGAAAGCTTACCCTCTTAGTAAGGGACCAAGGCTTCCTAGGTTATCCCAGCCTTCAGCTTATGCATCAACAGCATCCTTACTTTCTTCCAGCTCACCACAAGGAAAGATAATCTATTCCTAGATGCAGTGCCTCAGGCCACTGTAGAGCTGGATTAGGGAACAGCACAGGGCAGTGTCTTCTAGGAAGAAAAGTACAATCTAGCTTTCCCACAGTGCTCAGGCTTATAGATGGTGCCATCCTGCTGTCCCTGGCCACTGGATAATCACTTTCCTCTCCCTTTGGGCATGGAAGGGATTCAAGAATAAACGTGGTGATGAGGGCTAGGCAGTTGGCCTATCCCCTTAAATATATCATGAAATAACTACCACTATATAGCATTACTAGGTGATGTCGGGCACTGTAATAACTGTGATTTTATACCTATAATTTCAATTTTCACAATAGCCCATGAAGTAGTAAGATAAATTCTAACATTATGTCCATTTTACAGAAGAAGAAAGAGTATTTGTCCAAAGTCACACTTCTAGTAAGTGCCAGAGCTAGAATTCAACCCAGGAAGAGTATGGCTCCAGGTCTATACTTAGAAGTGATATGCTCTATTGCTTTGCAGATGTTTATTCCACTGATCTGTTCCTGAACTTTATCCCGACTCCAAGAAGCAATTTAATTTAAAAGACCAAACAACTTAATCCACTGCCCAAGCCATTCTTCCCTCTGAGGGGAAGGGTACTTTCTGAATGGATGGAGACCAAGAGAGGTGCTCTGAGGCAAAGGCAGCCTTACAGTTTAGCTGAGGCAGGATTTAGAAATGGCATGAGCAGTGCCTGTATTAGCTGACGGCATAGAGCACTGAGTGCTAGCAGAGGAGATAAAATCAGACATATGTTTGGCCGTATATTTTCTCTCTCCGTCCTTCCCTCCCTCCCTACTTCTGCCCTCCCCTTCCTCCTCCCCCTCCCTCTCTGCTTTTCTAATTTTAAGTCCCTGCTGCATTGTTGCAACAAAATGTAGAAGCATTAGTTGAGCACTCTGGCCCCCTGAGGTTGTGGCCCCCTCAGCCCTCTCCCAGTCTATCCCATCCCACTGAGTGAAGCCAGAGCTCTCCTGCTAATGGCCATGGACTCTGGACCTCTTTGTTATGTTGTTCCACCTAGCACCCAGCAAGTTGCTAGCCTCAATACATATTAAACATCCATGATAAAGCTAGTGTCTCTAGGCCTTAGAAATTAGCCTATCTACTCTACCTTCATTGAAAATAGGATGCGGCATTGCACTGAAGAAAAGGCCCTGAAGCAGATGATGGGAGTACAGCACAGCATGGCATTTAAAGAGCTGGGGCTGGGGTAGAAACAATGGAGGAGAGGAGTTAAGGAGCCTGCCAAGAGTCTGATTGTTGAGCCAAAGAGAAACCACTCTGCTACGGAGAACTTAACCTGGTGGGTGCTTTAAACCCTCTGTCAGTCCTCTACTCTGCAAAGATCCAAGCCACCTTCTCCACTGTGACATACTGTCTTACCCACTTCACTCTTTCCCTGGCAGTGGTTACCCTCTGTGGGCTCCTGTAATTTCTGTTTGCCACTGAACCTGAGAATCGGGAAGCTGTTTCATGCAATTCTGAGAATCTAGCTCCTTAGTGAGCACAGAGTTGTCTTGGGCCAGCTGTCAGGCCCCTGTGGTCAGAATTCTGGTCAGGCCTTGAGGACAGTAGAGCCAGTTCTGAAAGAGATGGAGCAGCTCTAAGAGGAAGGAGAAGAGAACACAGAGATATCTGTGAGCAGGTCCCATCTTCACTGCACATTGGACAGGAAAGAAATGTGTTCCCGCTGGCCAGTGAGAGAGCACATCTGGCTTGGGAGTCAAGAGACCTGGGTTTCAGTCCCACCTCTTCCACTAACTAGCTCTGTGACCTTGGATATATCTTTCAGTTTCTCTGGGGCTTGGTTTCCTTGATGGTAAAATGTGAAGGGATTAGATGAAATGATTTTTCATGGCCTTTCAAAGAAATCTATAATGAATATTCTCTAAGCATATAATCAGCAGTAGAGTCTTTTCTTCTAACATGTTGCTAAAACTGTGCCCCTAAAGAGCTACCAACCCATGTTCTGTTCTCGGGTAACAAACGCTACAGTGGGACCAGGCTCTCGGATGAGTCAGTGACACAGCTGCCCTCCCCGTGCTTGTGGGACTCCTCTGAGGAGCTGTCCCAGGTACCCGCTGCGAAGGGGGGTTACTGCTCCGAAAGCTGGGTGGTGTCAGGTCTAGGAGGCCCAGAGAGGAAAGGAACTACCTGCCGCCTTCCAGGAACCCTAAGCTCAGTCCCCTGCCCCCCTCCCACCCCCAATTCCTCTGAAGTCTTTTCTGAAAAGCACGTCTTGCTCGGATTCCAAGTCCTAAATTTGCTCCACCCCCACGACCAATGCATTTGTTCTTAGCGCTCTTCCCCAGGAATGTTTCAGACCGTTCTCCTACCTTTCCAATCAGACCTTGGTTGGCCCACAGACCCTTTGTTATTCCAGAGAAACGGTGATGCCCTGACCGTCCAAACAGCTGTCCAGAAAGGAGGGGTGTTAGGAAGTCTCTGAAGCAGCACCTTCCACAACTGCCTCTGAAACCGTTCCAAGCAGCCCGACAGCCTCAGCTGTGTCTTGTGGCACCAGGAGGCCATTTCTCGCCTTTTCGCCTGGGCCTAGCCAAGTCCCCCCTTTCGCTCTGCCGCAGCTTGCTCTCTTCAATGGAGGTAGGGAGCCTAGAAATGGGAGTGGCGGTTTCTGTGTGCCCAGGCATATATGCTTCCACAAAACCCGATTCCCAGAAATGGTGTCTATACACCCAAGAGGATTAAGAATTGGCCCTTTCTTAGGCATTTCTTAGCCAACTGCTGCAAAGTGCTGCCTGCCTCTCTCCTGTTCTGTGCCAGAGATATCACACCCACTCAGTCCCGATTCCCTGCATTAGTACAAACACTAGCGCTGAAGAGAGAGACGCAGGGTCCCCGTTCACGCAGCCTCCCTGGGCCTCATTACTCAGGAAGCATCGAGACACAGACACCCACCACCACAATGCGTGTTTGACTATTTAACACCAGAGCAACACCGCCTGTGGGAAATTGAAGCCAAACAACATTATTGCAGACCTCTTAAATCCAGGTCCCCCGGGGTCGAACCGGTGCTGCCTGAGCAGCTTCTGCTGAGGTGGCTTTTACCTTCTGGCCAGGGCCCAGGAGCTGGAGCTGACCCATTTACCCTGCTTTCCCAGGGCAGAAGGAATGTGGTTCTGCCCCCAACCACGCCAGGGACTAACACGCTTAGCTCATGGAAGGTGCACTGGAATCGGGGCGTTTTTTATTTAAGCTAAGGAAAGGTTGTTGACAGCTTCAGCATTTCCCATACTTTAAAAAGTGTAACATTGTTTTCGCCTCCCACCTCACCTCTCCCCTCCTCCCCTTCCCTTTTTTTCTTTAAATAGAAATGACTTCGTCAATGCTCATAAGAATTTATAAGTTCAGGGTAATCTTACTCAAGTTAACCCTTTGGGAACATTGAATTAAAAATTGAACAATATTTATTAAAATACAAAAATACACTTTTCTCACATTACAATCAATGTTCTTTTGTTGGCATTCCCCCCCACCCGCCCCACCCCCTTTCAAATCTGAACCCTTTATTTCCTTTTAAAGCTAAAATAAGAAATGAAAGAAAGTACAGCATTAACTGGACCAGAATAACAGAGATCTCTGCCTCCCCCACACATGCCCCCCCTTTACCTCCGGCCTCCTCCTGAGGGAGGCCTGGGAGAGGGAAGCCTTCCCCCTGCGCTGCATCCAGCAGGACTCCATGCGGAACTTACTTTCGTGTGCATGCCTATTCCCTTTTTCCTGTGGATTTCACATCTTTTTGGGAAAGGCTTCATTTTACTTTAAATGAGCCTGTGCCCTTGTTCTCTCTCCTTTTTCTCCTCTACTTGTATTCTGCCCCCACCCCATCACGACAACTAGTTGACATCAGCTGTAATAACCCCTAATGAATCAGCATTTAGAATAGTCACCGAATCACAAGCATGAGAAAAGCTTCCACTCCCCCAAGCGCCCCACTCCCAGCCTCCTCCCCCTCCGCCATAAAACAAAACCATTTTCAAAAAATCATCAAATGCCATCATTGTCTACAATCATTTGTCAGATACGGGAACAACAGGTGGACACGGCACGATGCTAATTGACGGCCTCCTGCGAGTACATTCTCTCTGCATGGCTCTCCCTTCCCTCCCCCGCTGTCGCCGCACCCACTTCGGGGGCCTCCTCCTTCTCCTGGGAAACCCTGAATAGACACTTGCCTTGAGCAGATTGGGTTAAGCCTGACTGCAGGAATCTGGTGCAGTGTGGAAGCATGAGAGCTACGCCAGCTCCCTTCCCTCTCTGCTCCTTTCCGAAGCGAAGCGCTCTCAGGCAGGGCACACGCGTGTCCCAGTGCACAAACCAAGAAGACTCGCCCACATGGACAGACATAAAGACTCAGCCCCTTTAAGGATTCATTTGAATGTGTGTGGTTTTCCTGTTTAACATACATTTACAGATCTATCTTCCCCTTGGCCTTTGAAGAAAAAAAAAAAAAAAAGTATTGCCTCTCAACATTTTAGCACAGTACAAATTCTTGGTGCCTTTTTGTATTTTTAAAATAAGATAAATCTGCAAAGACAGCTCTCAGTGTAAGAAAGGTGTCTGTAAGAAATGGATATTCCTGTATCATTTGAAGCATCTTCTAAAAAAAATGACAGATTCAGTCTACCTCCCCACCCTTCCGCAGCCCACACCCTGCCTCTTTAGGGATGTTCTGTTTGATGTCTTACTTTGTTTTAGCTTAGCACGTTCAACCTTATACCAGAAACGCCTTCTGGCAGCATAGCAAGCTGACCTGTGGCTTCTACCCCCTCCCCCCCTCCCCCCACGGCATTCCCAAGAACCCCACTCCCTGTTTAAATAGAACTTACAAGTTAGAAAATAGTTTTGTTTGGATTTTTTTGTCTTTAAATTTTAATATAATCTTTTCTTTGACCAGCCCATAGATTTAATATATAAGCATATACAAGAAAAAGTCTCTCCCCGCTCTGTACAAAAGTTGCTGTCTTTTTTGTGTGTGTGTGTGCATTCTATTGCATTTTGTGAGTTTGGGGGGGAGAGGAGGGTCATATTTGAGTTTCCTGTACCTTGTCCTTGGTGTGGGTCTGAATTATATAAGGTTCAGAGATAGTGGTGACCGTGGGGTGCAGAGAGTTCCCCAGGCTGTTTTCTGTCCAGTGGGCCCCGTGTGCTGGTTTGTAGGTGTTGTAGTTAATATGGTCATGAATTGTGGGCAGCACCACTGCCCCCTCACCTGATACACCGGATGGAGCTGCTGCTGCCGCCGAGGATGCCGCCGCTGGGATGTCCTCATCCACTTGGATAATCTCAACTGTCCGGGCGGCGGTGACCGTACTCCTCTGCTGGTGCCGCTTGCGGAGCTTGTAGAAGACGATCAGCATGGCGGCAGCCAGCAGAGTCACCGCCACGAAGCAGCCGATGATGATCTTGGTGGTCTTCATGACCTCGTCCAGGCTGGTCTGCATCTTGTCGTTGGTGTCCGTCGCGGGCACTGCCACCTGCTTGGGCACACGGGTGGTCTGGATGAGCACCGTGGTCGAGGTGGTGTATGCCGGCTGGTAGCCAGTGGACGTGGTAGGGGCGAGCTTGTATTTGCGCGTCGTATCCTCGGGCGATATCTCGGTGGTCTCCACCGTGACCGTGGTGAAGAAGCTGTAGTTGGAGGTGTTGAGCTCGGCCGTGCTCACGTTGAGGTAGGCCGAGGCGTTGGAGTTGCCTGCCACGTTGGTCACCATGCACGTGTACACCCCCGTGTCTGAGAGCAGCACGTGGGAGAAGTTCAAGGTGCCGTCGCTGAGGACGGAGATCCGGGGGTGGCGTGAGGCGTGGCTGAGCACTGTCCCGTTGGGCAGCAGCCACTTCACGGAGGACATGGGGGGAGTCCGACACTTGAGTTCCGCCATCCGGCCCTCGGAGATATTGAGGTCCCGCGGGGCGTCCATGATGAAGGGGGCCGAGCACTGAAAGGAGGCCTGGTCCACCTCCACCAGGTAGCGGCCCCGCATGTGCAGGGGCGCGTGACAGCGGCCACAGCAGGTGGAGTTGGTGGGTATGTACTCCCGAAGCCACCACGCGAGCCACAGAATGTCACAGTCGCAGTTCCAGGGGTTGTGGTGCAGGTGCAGCTCCACCAGGTACCTCAGGGGCGTGAAGAGGTCATGGGGCAGAGAGGAGAGGTTGTTGTGGGCCAAGTTGAGTTCCACAAGAGAGGCCAGCCCGTCAAAAGCGTTCCGCTCAATCAGGCTGACCTGCGAGTTCATGACCCAGAGCTTCTTGAGGGAGCTCAGGCCATGGAAGGAGCCAGGCCTGATCTCGGGGAAGTGGTTCCCTGACATCTCCAGCTCCTCCAGCCCTACCAGGGGGCTGAGGTTGGGCATATCCTTAATGTTGCACATGCCCAGGTTCAGGTACTTGAGGTTGAACAGCCCCTCAAAAGCCCCCTCGGAGATGTACTCCAGCTTCTTGAGCTCCCCCAAGTCCAGGCGCATGAGGGAGGGCACGCGGTTGAAGGCGTAAGAGGGGATGCTCTCTATGGGGTTGTTCCGCAGCCAGAGCTCCCGCAGCTTGGACAGGTACTCGAAGGCCCCGCTGGGGATGACCGTCAGCCAGTTGTCGAACAGCTCCAGGGTGTTGAGGCTGGCCAGGCCGTTGAAGGCCCCCACCTCGATCTGCCGGATGGAGTTCCTGCCCAGCTGGAGCACCTCCAGGTGGTGGAGGTGCCGGAAGGTGTCGGCCTGGATCATCTGGATGTTGTTCTCCATGAGGTTGAGGTACCGGGTGTTGGAGGGGATCCCCTGGGGGACCTCGGAGAGCCCCCGGCGGGTGCACACCACCTTGCTGAACTGGTTACTGCACGAGCAGACGGAGGGGCAGTTCTGGGGCCCAGCGGAGGCGGCGGCAGCGATGGCTGCGCACAGAATCCACACTTGCGCTGTGAGGTAGGCGACCGGGAGCAGGACGGCATTCCAGGTGTGGTGCACAGTCACCTGCCACAAGAGCTTCATGGTGTGGCACGTTCATAATTCACCATCGCCCGGGATTTTGGCTCGGAAAGGAGAACCAGCCCTACCCCGGCTTAAGTGAGCTAGGAGCGCCTCTTTCCATCTGGAGAAGGAGGTGGGGAGGGGCGGTTAGAGAGACGGAGCGGATCGGCCAGAAATACCATCCATGCCAAACTCAAGAGGGGCCCCTCGGCTGCCAGCCCCCCTCAAAGCAAGCCCCTCGCCAAACTGACTCGGTCGCCCGCCGCGGCCATCCCCACCCAGCGATTCGTCGTCACCTACCTCGGAAGGAAGGCAGGGAGGAGCTGGCGTGCTGTCCTTAATCGGTCTCCCCCGGAGCCGGCCGCCGCGATCCCATTCTCACTTCTCAGTTGTAATTAACAAAGGGGGGAAGGAGAGGGGGCGGGCGGGGTGCAGGGGAGACAGGGGAGGGGGGAGACAAAATGGCTTCTAGTAATCCAGGAGCCGGCTATGCCGGAGCCGCGGAGTTGAGGCGCCGGGGAGAGCCGAGGCCCGGCGGGCTATGCAGGTGCATGCTCCCCCCGCAGCCCGAGGAGCGGCGCCACCGCGCTTCCCGGCTTTGTCCTTGGATCCCGGCACCGGCTCGCCCCAGCCGGGGGGGAAGCCGCCTCATCGCCGGAGGGAGCCCCCGGCGCCCCGGCCCGCTCCCGGGCAGCCCCGGCGGGAGGAGGGCGCCCGGCCCAGGCCGCCCCGCTGCCCGCCGCCCGCTCTGCTCCGCGCGGCCGCCCCGGCGGCTGGTGCAGTCGTTGGCTCGCGGGGCCGCGAGAGTTAAGAGGCGGCGGCGCGGCTCCGGCGCCTCCCCAGACACACACCCCCTTCCCCGCCGCTCACGGGTTAAAGCGACAGCCCGGGCCGCTGCTCCCGCCCGCGGGCCGCCGGCCGGGGGGCGGTCATCCGGCCAGCCCCGAAGGGCGGCGGCGGGGGGCCGGGTCCGAGGGCTGGAGCGGCGCGCCCGCTCCGCAGGCCCCTTCGGGGAGTCCGGGGGCGGGCGCGGGGCCGGCGTCACCGCCCGCCGCAGCCGGGGCCCGGGCGCGCCTCCGGCCCTGGCTCCGCGCGGAGCGGACGAGTTCGGGGCCGCGGCTCCCGGCGCCTTCAGTGGCCGCGCTGCCCGCGGACTGCGGCGGCGGCGTGAGCAGCGGGGGTCGCGGCTGCGGGGAGCGCGGCGGGGCCCGGGGACATGCTCCCCGCTCGCTAGTGGCGGCGGCGGCGGGGCCCCTGCGCGCGGCGCCCACGGTGTCCTCTCGCCGGGCTGGCGGTGTGGCAGGCGGCGGCCGCGCAGACGGCTCTCGCATCCTTTTGTCCTTCAGTGGGAGCGGGGAGGCACTGCTGACGCATCCTGTTCGGGAGGTTCGCGCGATGCGGCGCTCCGGTGCGGACCGCGCGCCCGCCGCCGCCGCCCTCGAGGGGTTAACGGGCGCCTTCCAGCGCCGCCCGCTCACCCCGTCCCACTTCCTCCTCTCCCCCCTCTCCTTTCCTCTTCCTCCCACTCTCCCCCACCACCACCACCGCCCCCTCCCGGACCGCTTCCTCCGCCCGGAAAGGGCGCGGGGAGCGGCCGTGAGCCGGCGGGCGAGCGGTGTGAGCGGCGCGCGAGTCGCGGGCGTCCGCAGCTATTTCGGTCCGGGCGGTCGCGGGGAGCCCGAGCCGCCGCGCGGCTGTTGATAGGCTGGCGCGGGGCTGCTGCGGGGAGACCGCCCCGCCCCCGCCCGCACACCGGCGCCGGGCACCCCCTGGCACCCCTGCACCCGGCGAGGTGGGCTCACGGGTCGGGAACCCGGAACGCGGCGGCTTGGCCAGCCTCCCGCCCGGCCCGCGTCATCCTCTCCCCCGCCGGCTGCTGACGCCCCTGGCCGCGCGCGCCGGCCGCTGCGCAGAGTTTGGAGCCGCACGGGGGACGCGGGGGCGGCGGAGGGGGGGGGGGCGAAGACCGGCAGCCTGAGCGCTGCACCCTGGCCTCTCCGTCCTGCCCCTCCCTCGCAGATCTCCTCACCCCTCCGCGGCTTTAACTGGGGCTCTAAATGATAGTTACCAAAGGGTTGCGGGGAGGCAAACGGTGGAAGGAAAGACCAAGCGCGGGGCGCTGGGGAATGGCAACCTGGGACAGCACTAAAGCTGGCAGACAGGATGGAGGTGACTGGAACTCCCAGGACCCAGGGCACAATCATTTCATTCATGGAGCCGCAGCTTCTCCCTCTCCACAGCCCTGTGATCCCCTTTGCTCCCCCCGCCCCCGCCCTAGAGGATAGGAGGGGAGGGGGCGTCTTAAACCTGCCCATGAGCTTCACCAGCTCCTCTTCTGATCCGGGACTTCCTGAAAAGAACTCTGCAGCAAGTTGCCCCTGTTTGTAGTGAGAGGAGACCCTGGGGCACTAGATAGACCAGTAGAACAAGACTAGGTTAGCAGTTTTCCAACCCAAAAAAGGTAACCCCTTCCTTTGTGCCTAGTTAGGGTGGGGCTAAGCCATTGGAAGCCAGTCTGGTATAATTCGGCCTGGGTTTCACATCGATTTCTCTCTGGGGCTAGGTCTAGACCCCTCCCCCGCAACACCGCCCCACCTTGGCAAGCTGGCTTAAATCACCTGCACGTGGGCTATTGGCTGAAGAATGGGGAAGTCCTGCATTTCTCAGCGCTCTACACAGTATCTCTGTGTGGTATGCTGCCAGTAACCTAAGCCTCATCTTTATATGTGCTAGGGATTCTAGAAGTCCTGGCAAGTTGGACTCCCCATCATTTACCAAGACATTTTTATTATGCATCTGCAGTCAATATGTTACCTAGGGTCACATAGTAAGCAGTAGAGCCAGGATTTGCACTCTGGCAGAGCTCAGGTGTTGAGGAAGGGATTCCCTAGAGTTGTCTCCCTGTTGCTGAGAACTCAGGTTTCATCCATCCACTCAAACGCACTTACTGGGACGTTTCATGCTCTCCACTGTACTAGGGAGGGTGTGGTTTTGTTCATTCTACGCAGTGAAGTAATGGCCATAGTTGTCTCCATTTACAGATAAAAGTATGGGCTCAGGCAGACAAATAATATGCTTAAGGACATGCACCCGAAAAGCAACCGTCAAGCATTTCAAATCAGTCTTCCAACCCTGAGCCCAGTGTTTTCATCACTATCACCAAAACGGCCAACATGTCTACTCTGAGTAAATAGTGGAGGTAAAATTGTAGGAAAGACTATTAAAAAGTTCAGTGAGGAGAAAAAGAAGAATGGAAGAGGAGGGAATGGGAAAATAGATCTTTTATTTAACTTGTTTCATTCACAATAACTGGTCAAGAAAAAGAATGAGAGAAAAGGAAGTAAGTCTAACCCTGATAATCATAGTTAGATCCATCTGGGCTCTTTAAAAGCAGCAGGACAATACCACCTTATAGACCCAGGAAATGTAAACCTCGCCAGACGAATCCGTGGAGGAGAATCAGAAACTTGCTGCTTAGAGGCTCCTCTCCCTGTCATAGCTGGCATCAAGCTGATAGAGCGCCAGGGGGGACCCTGGCCTGGATCCAGGTAGCACACTGGAGTATGGCCACCTCAGCCTCCTCAGGCCAAAGAGGGTCTCCTCTCTGGCTGAGCTGGTTCCCTGCCGGTGTAGGCAAACTCAGCTCCATCTGAACAGCTCCAGGCCCACAAAGGAAAGGTTCTGCCCATAACTGTGTTGGTGGGTGAAAGGGTGCACTGCCTTGGATCAAACCAGTACTTAGTAACCATGTTGTCTCCCGGTGAATATCTGTAACTCATTGATGAAAGTGAATATACCCAAGCTCTGTGCAGCCCAGGGAGTTCTTGATGGGGCTTCTTTGTCCTCGTGCTGGTCAGTGAGGCTGAGAGAGCATCACAGAAGCTACAAACTAGACTGAGGAGGCTGCGGGGCCATGGCGGCACACAGCCCTTCTGAACCGAAAGTGGCCCTGTAACCCCAGCATCGTCTAGCCATTGACTGTTGCTCCTCAGCCCCTGCTTCTGACTACTCCCTTGATTTGAAGTGTTGGCACCAAGGAATAAAAAGAAGAGGAAGGCTTATTATACATTGAGATGAAGAGAAGGGGGAAATGCTGGGTTGAGAATGTTTTCACTTCTGGTTCCACACACAGGCTGCTGTGTTAAAGACAGGGAGAACTGAAGAAGGCAGCCAGTGACTGGGCAAAGCCTGCATCAATAGCTTGGTAGCAGCACTAAGATTGAGATACCTGAGTTCTAGTCCCCTTTCTGCCACGAATTAGATATGTGAGAAATCTTAACACAGCTCTAAACCATAGTTTCTTAATTTATAAAATTAAAGAAATGACTAAAATGTTCCTCCAGTTCTCATGGCCCATGATTTCTACCCTTTCCCAGATAACGTGGCACTGTAAAGGAGGCTGATTCTTTGGGATTGGAGCCAAGTCTTGGAAATGAGCCATGAAGTTGGGAAGAGACTGTTTCCTTTAGTTTAACTTAGCCATCCACAGTGCCAAAGCAGATCAGTGTTTTCCCAGCTACTAAAAAGGCGTATGGTTAATAAATGTTACAAAATGTTAAAGCTGAAAGGGACCTTGGAGATCATCTGAACTTAACCTCTAATTTTACAAATGGCATTAATGAAGTCAGATAGTCACAGTGACTTACCTAAAGCCACATGGCCAATTAATATAAGAATCTGTCCCTTCTGAGCTCAGCCCCTGAGTCAAGATGACTCTGTATGGCTAATTGGCATTTAAACCTGGGCTTGGAAAGTATTCCCAAATGCCTGTGGTCTTCTTTGCAGGTGCTATCATTATACTTTGCTGGGCTAGGATAAAGATGGGTCTTTGTAGCCAGATTGGCATTCCAAGTGAGTTCAAACCCGTAATAAGAAATGGAAGACAAGTTCAGCCAGGAACTGACTCAAAGAGGACTGCCTCGCCAGCCTGATAATCGGGCTTTTGGTAAAAAGGGCCAGACCACACCCAGCCTTGACATGCAGCCCTGAGGCATTATCCCCGAGCAGCCACTAGATGTCCATAATGTCTCACAGGGTTTGCTACGTGTGCCATCTTGGGCAGGGTACTTTCTTGCCTCCAGTAGGCTTTGAGGCCCCTTAAAGTAGACCCAACAGTGACAGGAAGATCACATTTTCCCTGTTACTCAGTTCCTGTTTGCTGGACTGACAAACCTTTTCCATTTTATACTCTGTGCTGCCATTTTAGTTAAGAACAATAAAAGAGCAAAATAGAAAGGGGACTTTGGGAAACAGGAAGAAAGAAGAAAAATAGTATGGGAATGGCTCCCCACAAAGGTAAGGAAAGATATCAGTTGCTGGGTGAGTTGATGACAGAGCTGTATAAAGAATGGTCTGTGTGGAAATAGTCACTCCTCTCCTATCCAAGGCAGTGAACACACCAAGGGTGTGTGTGTGTGTGTGTGTGTGTGTGTGTTTGCATCTTCCTCGTGTGTGAATACCCCTCCAGGGTCACCTGACCATGAACTTTCTGTAAGGATATTTTTCTTGCCTGTGATCCCAAAGTGAGGCTGTGGCTGTGCCATTTCTACCCACAATCACTAAGGGAATGGATTTTCTTCCTTGATCCTGAGGACTCAAGGCCACACAGCTGTTCTGGAATTATTCACTCTTATGAGTGCCCTCAGAATCCACTGTTCTTTTGCCCTAAGAACTCTACTTTTTAAGGAAAGCAGAAGGAAGAAGCAGACAAAAAAATCACTCTCCTTGCAGGTCCCATCCAAAACCTCGGCAAAGTAAAGACAAGATGCTTAATGAGAATGGCAAAGAGCTATAGAATGGAAGGGCTTCTCCCCCTTCTCTGAGGCTAGTTTCCTGGGGCTTACCGTCTTTGTGGGCTGCCAGGCCTGAGTGGAGGGAGAAATCTCCCAAAACCCCCAAGGCCGCCTCTTTCGGGGCAGTCAGTGTGGTGCCAGTGCTAGCCACAGTCACCTTTTAGTCACTCGGACCTTAGGAATGTTCACCTCTCCAGGTTCACAGGCCCATCACAGGCCCTTGTGGTTTATCCTTCTCTATAATTGCTTTTTTATAGCAATAACAATGGTGATGGTAAAGCAGTACTTACTGGGGAGTTGGTAACTACTTGGCAAAGTGTCTTTTCACATACCTGCTCCTCATGACAGCTCTGTGAGGTAGATACAATGAAATTCCCCATTTTGCACATGAACTGAAGAGACTTTCTCAGGATCCCAGAACTAGTGACTGTGTTAATTTCTTGAGGCTCTTGTAACAGATTATCACATGTTTGGGCTTTAATCTGGCAAGGCCACACTCTCTCCAAGGACCCCAGGGAGAATTGGTTCCTTGCCTCTCACCTCCTCCCGTTTTTGGAGGCTGTCATCATTCCTAGACTTCAGTCTCTGCCTCCGTGGCCATTTGACTCTTCTTCTGTCCTTTCCTCTTTGTGACTTATAAGGACACTTGTCATTAGATTTACGGCCCACCTGGATATTTCAGGATGATGTCATCACAAGATCCT